AGGCAGAGAGGCAGAGAGGCAGAGAGGCAGAGAGGCAGAGAGGCAGAGAGGCAGAGAGGCAGAGAGGCAGAGAGGCAGAGAGGCAGAGAGGCAGAGAGGCAGAGAGGCAGATCCAGATCTCTGAGTTCAAGGCCAGCTTGGTCTACAGAGTGAATTCCAAGGCTATACAGAAAAACCCTGTCTTAAAATATAAAACAAAACAAAAACAAACAAAAACAAAAAACCCTCATATTTCCATAGTTTTTGTTCCACGCTACCAGTTCAAAATAATGTTATGTTTGTTATAGAACAAAGACAAAATTTAAGTCAAATATGAATCTGGACACAATAACATGTTTTCATTATATATACACTAATGTATCACTCAGAATTTTACCAACCTAGTTTAAAATTAAATAAAATAGTCTCCTCCTCTTTACTATTGCTAATATTTTAAAGATAAGGAAGAATTTTCTCTACCTTCCTTACTGATCCATGTCTATGCAAGCTCAAATGTTCATAATTGTCTGTACAGTGGACATCCCTGCCTCCCACCCAGCCCCTGATGAAGGAGCTGTTCAACATCTGAACTTCAGTTATCCAGCTCCCAGGATACTGACTGTACCTGACTGTATACTGCAAGTTGTATAAGGGTTTGGAAAACTGTGTGTTAGATCTATAGCATCACGAGATCACTTTAAAATTTAAAAGGAATTTAATACTTCCATTTGTTTCTCTGAATCAGCAACATATACTAGTCTAGAGCAATGCCAATCAAGGCATAGATCATTTGGATAGGCTGGAATAACATGCAGAATCAAGTCTGGGAGTTCGAGCTGAGGCCATTTGTGAAGGTTCAAGAAATTTAATACTTTAGGCACAAGAGAAGAGGATGAACAGTGAATTCCATGAAAGACTCGCAGCAAATAAGGGAGAGTACTTTCAACAGGTCAGCAATAACTAAGAGTAAGACGCTTGCAATTTTATGTTCTTAGCTTTAGAGAAACAATTAAATTGTCACTGTCAGAAGCAACATATGTGACTTCTACTTCTACTTGAGAGTTTTTAGCTTAAGCATCACTGGGTCCCATGGTAACAGCGGGAAGGCAGGAAGTGCATGCACCCCTAATGGGGAAATAAGTGGTACTTACCAGAGGTAGTGTTGACTCAGTGGTGGAAATGTACAGTCCAGGTGGCTGGCCAGCAAGCTGTGATTCAGGAGACCCTCAGAATCTACATGTTCTTCCCAGCTAAGTATTGAGGGAGAAAAGAGGAGAAAGGGTAAACCTGGACGACAATTTAAGGAGCACAGAAGTACACACAACATGTCAGCACAGCCATCAAGAAGAAGAGAACAAATCTGTGATAGTTCAAATGATAGTCACAGAAGCTAACAGTACCTGTGTCTGGAGAGCTTGAGGAATTTCTCGATTCCTAGAAAGTGGAACTTTGTTGGAGACAGAGTAGACCTTCGTACTTCTCGGGCTGCTTAAGACTTTGGGAGATGAAGTAGAGCCAATTCAAGGCAGATGCAATATAAACATATTTTATACAGTAACAAACGTTAATATTTTTATTGTATAATTGCCTTTACTCTTCTCTTTGTTTTCTGCCCCATTCCCTTCCTTTTCATTTTTCCCCTCCCCCACCTCCTTTCCCATTTATTCCCAATTTTGCGTTCCTGTTTTACTCTTTACCTCCTCCTCTGATTCTCCTTTTCTCAATATTTTCTCTTCTTCCCATCTCTTTTTACTCCTCTTTCTTCTTTTCCTCCCTTGTCTACTATGCTCTTTCCCCTCTCCTTCTCACTTCCCCCTGCCTGTGGCCCGCCTTTAATTGTCTCTCCAGGTACTATGCCATCTGCTGCCAACCCTTGGTTTATAGAAACAAGATGACCCCTCTACGCATTGCATTAATGTTGGGAGGCTGCTGGATCATTCCCATGTTTATATCTTTTCTCCCCATAATGCAAGGCTGGAACAACATCGGCATAGTTGATGTGGTAAGTATGCAGACAAAACCATGGGATTATTATCCACTCGGTTTTGCTAGGCATTTTAGATGAGCAAACACTGCTAAGCTAGGTAGCTATTTTAATAGATGTTATAATAATGGTCTGAGCAACATGTTTAAATGCCTATTGATGCCCTTGGTCAAATGTTAGTCAAGATGCTCTGAATGATCTTCCCAATGAGAACTTGTGTTTTTAAAAGGTTATTTACTTAATATTTGAGAGTTTCACACACAAGCACAATGTACTTAGATTATGTGAAACCCTAAGCCTCAAAGTTTGCATTTCCATGTCTGTCTTAGATTCTTTTCCTGCAGTATCACGAAAATACCCTGACAGAAAGAATTTAAGGGAGAAATGGCTTAGTTTAGCTCACAGTTTAAGATATCATCATGGCAGAAATGTCAAGACAGCAGGAACCTGAAGCAGTGAGTCCCTTAATGTCCACATCAGAAGAGAACAATGAAACTGCTCAGTTTTGGGTTTTGGGATTTTGTGTGTGTGTGGCGGGGGGGTTATTTGTTTGTTTTGTCATCTATATTTTAGAACACCCTGCCTAGGGAAAGGTCCTACCTACAACTAAGATGGATCTTCCCACACCAATTACCACACACAAGATAATCCTCCCCAGCTATACCCAGTGGCACTTCTTGGAGGTGATTCTGTGAAGTTGACAACTCCCTCTAACCAACACAATGTCCAACTTTCCGTTGCTCAGTTTCAGCAAGGATGCTGACGAGTTGGTTTATGTTCAATCCCCCATCCTCAGTAAAGGACCAGGCACTTCATCCTTCACCTTCCCCAGCTTGTGTCTGATTGCGCTGGCTTGTCTTCAGCAAGAATCCTGCTAAGTTGACTTAGTTAGAGTCCCACTTTCTCATCCCATTTACTCTGAATAATTTTCTCATCCATCAACTCCTTGACTATAAATCCCCACTTTCTTCCCTTTGGTGTTTTAGAGTTGAATCTAATCTCCTTGTGCAAAATCACAGTATTTTCTCTTATGAAAATAATGTGGAATAAAGGCTCCTTAGCATTGTTTCAAATAATTTTTTAACATTATTGTAAATTAGACAGGATGATAAGCACTTTATATGTAACCCCAAAAGAATACTTTTGGGAAGAGTATAATTATGACCATTTTAAAGATGAGCAGGTTAATTTGCATTTCCCATGACACATAGTTTTCTCATTTAAAAGATTTTTATTTAATTTAATTTTATATATTTATATTTTTATAATTATTAAATATTTATTGATATTTATAAATCAGTTCCCAGAACTTGAGGCATATCATATGTCCTGAGAGGCCTTCATTCTATTTCATACCGAAAGTCTATAAGGTTTACAGTGCCCAGGGAAAGACATACCAGGTGAATGGACTCTGCCAGGGAGTGAGGGAAAGTCCTGGGCCAGAAGTCAGGAACTAAGCTGTGAACTCAGCTCTGTTAATGTCCAACTTCCTGAGGGATTGTACTAAAAAGGGAAGTTGGTGCCGAGTGAAAAAAAATATGTTCAATGTGAGCCTAAGGGGACATGTGCCACATATGCCATGCATTATCCAAACTCCGGGTATTGTTTTCCAGAGACATAGAACCAATAGAATGTTTGTATGTATGTGTTCATCTATTTGTCTATCAATCTATCTGTCTATCCATCTATCTGTCTATCTATCTATCTATCTATCTATCTATCTATCTATCTATGTATCTATCATTTATCTATCATCTACCATCTATCTATCTATCTATCTATCTATCTATCATCTATCTATCTATCTATCTATCTATCTATCTATCTATCTATCTATC